ATTACTAGAATTGGGGAATCTAGAATGGATGAACTATTGTGAGTAATTTACTCCTCAAGATTACCCATCTTCCCATTCCCTTCCCCTATCATGCCCCTCCCCCATTTGTCTCAAACTCCCTAGTCCTCTCATCCACCTTCAACAGCATGTTCACTTTCTGTCATTATTTGTTACATTTTCTCTGTGATTATTGAGAAGCATTTTCCACTTTGAATAATTTGTAATTTTGTCTGTGTAACTGAAATTTGATATGTATATTATGATGTTGTATTTTATAACAATTATCTGTACAGTTGTAGGTAGACATTCACTTTAATGATGAAATACTAAACTTAATTACAGTACAGCCTCAGCATAACTTAACATTAAGCTTAGCCATAAGCTGGTTTAAACCTAGCTTAGATTGCTAACAAAACGACCATATATCTAAATTATGCAGCGTAATCTGCCAAAATATGTCCCATATTAGTAACATAATTAAATACAACAAAGAAAGTGGAAATTTGTTATTTCAAAATTAAGATTTAATGAAAAGACAAAGCTAAGTTGTGCTTACACTATACTGTACATGAATGTTTTTGGAAATAAGGTTTGTGATTACTAACAGTGTATTTTTTCTCTATTTTAGAGCTTGGTTAAAAGGTGCATGTGTATTATTGTGTCTACTTGGTATCACCTGGGTGTTTGGTATGCTCTACATTAATAAATCTACAGTAATAATGGCGTATGTATTCACTATACTCAATGCCGTGCAAGGTGTATTCATATTCGTATTTCATTGTATGATGAATGAAAAGGTAAGACATTTTATTTGTTTGTTTCTGCATAAATTTTGTTATTTATTATATTTGTGTGCATGGTCCATCAATATTCATGTTATACATAAAATTGCAAATTCATTTTCTGTGAAATTTGCTTTTCGGTCACCCTCGTTCTTCAGGCTTGGCTTTCTGTTATCCCTCATTCTTCAGACTTGGCTTTTTGTTACTGCATTGAACACTGTTTCCCTGTAATACGTTTGAGATATCAGAAAGTGATAATGCAATTACAACTGAATACATCTGTTACAGTATGCACGGAAGTCATGTTCTATCAACTGTCCTCTCATAATTTGTCCAACCGCAGATTGGCTTACTAAACAGAACATTAGAATTTGATTGTTCTACATGCACTTATTTCTAACATGGTTCCTCATTGGTGGATGATTGAACATGATTTCCATGTGTCACATGTAGTTACAAATGACATTTAGGGGAAGTTAATGCAAAAATTGCAAACACAAATATTCATTTTTAGTGAGGTTGATATGAGAACTGCATTATGGGCCTGTCTTGTAAATGTTAATGATATCTGAATGCTATTTGACAATTCAGGTAACAAAAGAGTACAAAAGATGGATTCGTCAAAGTAGATTCTGCCCTGATTGTATACGTGACATCTATGCTACCAGTATCTCAAAGGAACAAGTTTCAAGATCAAGTACTTCTTCAAAGGTCAGAGTTCATTTCTGTTTGACTGCATCATACCTTATTAGGAATGATTTTTGATAACAAATTGTATAAACCCACTGTCCTTGTAAGCTCTAAAGAATGCTGGGAAGGTTATTCGTGTTACCATAGTAACAGATGACTTTTTATATTACAGAAATTACATGGTATTTATGATAGAGATCCAAGATCTTTCAGTACAGCATCAACAGTTACTGACAAGAGATTTTCTGTCTCATCCACTGGTAAAAATAACGGTATGTTATTTTATGTTACTG